AACATAGATACACATATCTTGATACCAGTTAAATCGTCTGACCAGCTCTATTCCTGATTGTGACATTTTGACTGAGTGTGATGTATGCATAGCAGGAGACCCTATCCTGTCGATGCGCCGGTCTCGCTTCTTTCGGAATTCTTCAATTTCCTCAGTTTTTGTTTGTTTCTTTGATTTGTCTCTTCTTAATCGAATAACGAGATTTTACATCGATAAGCTACTGTCACTTTAATTATGTAGAAATAAATCATACTAAAAATAAATACTGTTAGGTCATCAGTGAACGGAAGAATTTTTTCTCTTTCCTTTTCATGATCTTTCATATGATATTACTTCAAAAACCCAAAGCCTCATAGGCCCTATATCCAGTAACATGAACAAAACCGAAATGTTGTATTCAATATGTAGGGCAAACTGGACGTGAAATTTTCAAACGAACACAAGAACATCGATACCGCTTTCGCAGACCTAAAAAATTAAAAAGTTTAATTTACCAACATTTAGAAAAACACAAACACAATATTCAATTTATAAACTTTCTACCAATTCAAACCGCCTAGATACAACCAGGACAATCACAACAACAGTTTGAAGATTCCTGTAAATTTTCTTGGATTAAACGACTTCACGCAGCGTATCCCCTAGGTATAAATGACAACACCATGGGCCAAGGGAACATATCTGAAACTTCCTCTATTGATATCAGTACTTGTTGATAAAAGACAATGCAATCATAGTCTCATGGCAATCGCATTAACCGCAATCAAAGAAATAAACATCGTTCTAATTTTACACTTGATGGATTTTGAAAACAATGGTAGACATCAATTATTATGCAAATCGGGTCAAATACCAATTAGTAAATTACATAATATTTATAACGAGTGTGATACAGTATCGTTTTTTAGTCCAAAATATGAGTACTTGTATTATTACAGCCTTTTGTCATCATAGACTGTTTCCTCAAATTGACAAACCTGACGATCATAAAAGGTATTTCATATAAATAAAATACATTAATACGGGTATTGATTTAATTGATTTGTCTAGTATTTTTCATGACTCTGCCGTTCAAAACTTTATATCTCCATATTTTGATAATAAATAGCCACCTATAATTTCTTATTCGTATAAAAAAAACCAGTAGAAGTTTAATCTTTAATTATACGCCAGTTACATCAGACGTCAGTATAGAAAATAATGCTCCTTCGAAATGAGATTGTGAAACAGCAAAGTTTAGATCCCTATGACCATGTAATTACAGGGGACCTCAACATCGTTTAACACAGAGTTTTGTAAAATTTCTGAAAAAAAGGACTAAAATATCGTCCACTACACTATACATCCACACAATCTGCGAGTACTCTCAGATCTGTACTTAGTAGTTTTTTTGTTTTTGTTAGGGATGAGGGATGATTATATACACTTCCACGTCCTGGCTGTCTTTTTTGTTTGGTGTTTTTCTTTGTATCGATCTGATGAGTTAAGCCTTTTTCAACTGATTTTTACAGTCTGATCTTATGTTGTGCTGTTACACCACTGTCCCAGGTTAGGAGAGGGTTGAGCGCTCACAAACATATTTAACCCCACTACATTCTTTATGTGCATGTCCCAAATCTGGAGCATGTAGTTCAGTGGTTGTCGTTTGTTGACGTCTGTTATATTTGTTTTTTGTAGATATTTTTGTTATAAGTTGGGCCGTAAGTTTTTTATTTGAATTCTTTCATATTTTTCATGTCGAGGCATTTTATAGCCGATTAAACGGTATGGGTTTTTGTCATTGTTGAAGGCCGTACGGTTAGCTATAATTGCTTACATCCATTTTATATAAACTTTGGTGGATAGTTGTCTCATTGGCAATCATACCACATCTCTTTATTTTTATACTATCATTCAAACAAACAATGCGCTGAAACTATCATTGTCAAGATATCTGAATTCTTATTTGATAACATTTAAATTACATTTTGAGGACGTAATTTCAGCAAACAGACGGCATTCCTAAGGTAACTGTGGTACTCTTCTTGCTGGCTTGTTCCTTTATTCGTATTAGGTGTGTGATGGCTTCTTTGGAATAGTGAAAAACAAGCAAGCATTATCTTTTAAATTCATGTATCGCTATTTGGATGATGTCTTCTCTCAAAATAATTCTAAGTTTGGTGACTATGTTAAACGAATCTAGACAATATACCTAGAAATAACAGATAAAAAACAGTTGAATCTGCATCTTTTCTTGCCTAGAAATTGGCAACGAGGGTCGGTTGAAACAAATTTTACGAAAAAAAAGATGATTCAAACTACCCGAACTTTCTATTTCTATTTATCATCTCCCAGGTGATACGATATTCCAGAGCTTGTGTTTCCTTTCATGATTTCATACAGAATTGCTGTTTACAATAAGCTATTAAACAAAGGGTTCAAAGTGGTAACACTTAAGTATTCTTAAAAAATTTACAGACGCCATCACCAAATGGATAAACGTTATGAAATATCTGTTTGAAAACATATCTGCTATCATCTGTGAAAAGGATATTCCATAACGGTCAACTCGTGATGGCGTCCGTAAAAGTTACGAAGGGATGATTTTCAACTTCACCACTTAGAACTCTTGGTTTAAAAGCTTCCTTGTGAGCAGTAACCCTGTATCAAGGAAGCATGATTGGAAATACAATTCCCTTGGATATCGTATCAACTGGGAGATATATACTCCGTATGCAGGCGCTGCTGGAATGTTGCTATTGTGTCTGTTTGTTTTGTTTACGCAGCGTTGTCAATGTAATGGAATTTGATGCGCCTGTCATACAAGTGAGAGGTTTAGCTAGCTATAAAACCAGGTTCAATCCACCATTTTACACATAAGAAAATGCCTGTACCAAGTCAGGAATATGACAGTTATTATCCATTCGTTTGATGTGTTTGAGCTTTTGATTTTGCCATTTGATAAGGGACTTTCCTTTTTGAATTTTCCTCGGAGTTCAGTATTTTTGTGATCTTACTTTTTCCTACATAGAAATGGAAAGTTCACAATTAGGAAGCTGAAATTCACTCTTTTGTTGTAAAGTTTTGTTTTCAACCAACCCTCAATGTCAATGTCTAGATATAAGCCAAGACATGAGGCAGACTAAATTGTATCTGTTGTATCTTTTATCTTAATTTCGATGGAATAGATGCGTTCAACATAGTCTCCAAATTTTGAATTATTTAGTGAGAGATTCAAATTGTCATTACAATAATATCGTCATCTTTTCATCAAATTTGACATCATCGAATGAGAATTATCAGGTAATTTGTACTTATGTGAGCAACACGACGGGTTCCACGTGTGAAGACGGATCTATGTAATATTTAAGAGTACCTAATATCACTCTTGGTATTTTATAGGGTTCGTGTTGACTAGTCTTTAGTTTCAGGTTGTGTTCTGTAAACTATTTGTTCGTACGTCGTCTGTTTTTGTTTTTTACCATTGCATTAAACAGTTTGTTTTCGATTTGTGAGTTTGAATATGTCTTATTTATCTTCCGATTCCCTTTTACTTAAACGGTTCCTGTATCATGGTCTTTCATGTTTAATGAAGGCAACAGTAGTATACCGCTGTTCGAAACTCATAAATCGATAGAGATAAAAACAAATCCGGGTTACAAACTAAAACTGAGGGAAACGCATCAAATATAAAAGGAGAACAACGATACAACCAAAACTCAACATTAAAATGTAACACACACAGAAACGAACTATAATATAACAATGGCCATTTTCCTGACTTGGTACAGGACATTTTAAGAAAAAAATGGTGGGTGGAACCTGGTTTTGTGGCTTGCCAAACCTCCCGCTTTTATGGCAACGTCAAACACAACACCAAAACGACAACATCACACGACAGGACCACAATACAAACAACTGGGAGAACATATAAGACAAAGAAACACACGAATAATAGCTAGCAGAAGGTACTAGGCTTAAAATTCAATACGCCAGACGTGCGTCTCGTCCACACAAGACCAACCAGTGACGCTCAGATGAAAAAAGTTTGAAAGCCAAAACAAGTACAAAGCTGAAGAGCACCGAGGACCAAAACTTCCAAAAAGTTGCGCCTAACACGGCCAGGATTTTCTGCCTGGGACAAGAACATCCTTATTATTTAGAATAATTTATAATTTTGCAAACAGTAAATATTATAAAATGACTGTATAATAGATATACATGATAAAACCAATGTGGGGACTAACTACAGAATAAAAACAGATACATTACATAAAACAACTTAATCCAACATATAAAAATACACAACCGAGTTAGCTAAAGCCTCAACGCACAAAGTGACGTCACATTTGAAATTCTAAAAAAACACACAAAGTGACGTCACATATGAATTTGTAAAAATATTTCCCAAAAATAAGATAGGATTAGGATTGATTCAAGATAGATTTGTAATACTGCCATTACATTTATTAATAACAATGAAAATTACAATACTTATTAATATCAAATTGTGGTAGTAATTATGTTTAAACCGAGGAAAGATATTTTAATGGACCTTTCACATTCAAATATATGGAGATATGCACTTTTCCCCTCATAGTTCATGATAGAATTTTCGAGACCTTAAGTGCGTTTGGTTAGTTTTTACTATGGGTTACTGTCTTATTGACCTAAACAATATTCCCATTTATATTCATACTGATAAAACTGGCCGCTGTGAATTGTAGGAAGTAATCCCTATTGGAATTTACATTGTTGAAGCGAGAGGAAAATCCCGTTAATTCAAAATAAATTTCATCGTGTCGTAAATTCCCTGTAATTATGGATTATTATGTATATGTACATGTCTAGTAATTTTAAATCTGTAGAACGACATATTCATAGGATTATGTAACAAAGGATGCATATATGTTCAAATGTTTTATACAGCTGCCATCAATTAGCTCAATTAATCAGCATGCATACATATACACTTTTACTTCCTCAAACTAATATAGTTGGTCAATGTTCTAATCGATTAATAAACATGTGTTTATATATATACTTTTTCGTACTAATATAGTTCTTCAAAGCTATAGCATTTGAGGTGTCTCTGAAAACAGGTAATACAATTATATTGTTTTGAATAGCTCTAAAATTTGAAGTGTCTCTGAAAAAAGGTATTACAATTATATTGTTTTGAATAGCTCTAACATTTGAAGTGTCTCTGAAAACAGGTAATACAGCTATAATGTTTTGAATAGTTTTTGTTTTACTTGTTGGTTTATTATTTTTCTCTTGTCTGTCGCTTTATGATTCTCCTTAGTTTTCAAAGGGTAAAAGTTCGAAATAAAGGCAACAGTAGTATACCGCTATTCAATAGTCATAAATCGATTTAACTGAAACAAATCCGGGTCACAAACCAAAACCGAGGGAAACACATCAACTTTAAACGGAAAACAACAGAACAACAGAAACACTGAACTGTTACAAAAAGAAAGCCAACAAACATAGAAACGGACTATTTGATAACAACTGCAATATTCCTGACTTGGTACAAGACATTTTAAGAAAAAATGGTGGGTTGAACATGGTTTTATGGCTAGCCAAACCTCCCACTTATATGGCAATGTTAAAAATACCGCTAAAATTACAACTTACGTGACAGGAATACTGTACAAATATAAACGCACGAACACTCAGGACAGTGAAATACATCAATAAATAATATAATAGTACATTACAACAATAGGAAAACAATAGGAAATTTCAGGTAGAAACTACGAAAAATGGCTCAATTGGTTTCCAGCGCGGACTCCGAATAAGAACAAGGATGGCAGTGTAGGTGCTTCTTTAATATCTTTACGGTAGAAGTTTGCGCTGTGCAAATCTAAAGGAGTAGGCCCAGTAAGACCCCTTTTTGGCTCAAAAATATAGCAGTTTTACAAAATTGTTAAAATGTAAATTTTAAGCTATTTATTGGAAAGAAGAATACTTCTGTTACATAAATATGGGCTGTTTTTGATAATACAATGCAAATGTATCGGGTACTAGCATCATTAAGTCATGCTAAATTACTGAAATCTTCGAAATTTTAGCATTTTGGTTAATTTTTAGACGGTTTCCGTCTGAAATGGAAGTGGCCGCATTTGTGTTCATTCTTAAAATTTAAATGTAAGTTGTATTTGATGATAGAACATAACATATATAAAGGTTGAGAATGAACACGGATGCGGCCACTTTTATATTTCACAAAAACCATCTGAAAAGTGACATATTATGGCATATTTGATAGATTTTTCATATTTAAACTTGAATTCGAGCGTCTTTAATGACTAAATCAGTTCAAATCTTTCACATAAACTAATTGAATCGACTGAAGTAGACACTTAAGTGTTTAAAAAGTGTCCAAAATCTTTCATCAGATGAACCTGAATTTTGAGGCCAAAATCGACCCTTACCGGACCTACTCCTTTAATATTGTATTTATTTTAGTTACAAAAATTGTATAACCTCATTTACAGCAGTTTAACAAGAATTTTGTAGGATTGAAATTCATGTATCATTATAAGTCATATGTAATATGGAGGAACATTATGCATACATGCCAAATATATTTTTTTATCTCATTAAGTGCCAATCTGCCTAAGAACTAGGCAGTAGTGAAAACATGACAAATAAAACCCACTCCGGTTAACATTAATATATGTTCAAAATGTATAATGGTGCACGAATATAAAATTCTTTCCTTTTCCAGTTCTGGTAATTCAAGTTATAATTTGGTTGAAATGCACTTGAAATTAACAATTAAGGGTAGCTAACTCCGTAGTTTGCCATCATTCTAACCAAAAGTTCTCTAGAGATTTCTCGAATTACCAGACACAAAGAAAAGAAAGACATAGGATGAAAATAACTTAAAAATAGGATGTTTACGTGGTGGCTTTTTTTCGGCCATATTTTGATTTTTTTCAAAATTGCCTGATTCTTACAAAGACTGGCACTTAATAACTGTACAATTGGTATAATTCCAGCAGGCAAAATTCTACATTTCCCGAAATATATCCTAATGATTCGTCTTGATATTTTCAATCAAGAAAAGTATACCGTTGTGAAGATGACGCACTGCCATGAAAGCTTTTGAAACTTGCATCAACATTTGAAAGTTTTTCAAAACCTATTCATTGCAAATTCATTCATATCGTTAGCAGTCTAATTTCGAATGCACACTGTAGGTGTTGATAATAGTTGATTACAATGACTTTTTTTTTTCAAAATATCAAAATAAACATGATGTTTCAAAGTTTTTATTATAATAGCAGATATCTTTTTATTCAAATTTAACTAACTAAAGAAGATTTGGTAAGCAGTAGAATTTTCTTTAAAAAACTTTAACATGTTACCTTATAAATTTAAATTAAGTGATGTTTTATTTTGTAATATAAATATTTTTTTTGAAATGTGATTTCATGTGTTCATAGCAAGTAAATTGTAAAACATTTCCGCATATACTGGTTTTTCAAAAAGTATAGACCCCATTTACACTTCCATAATCTCTAAAACAAATATGGCGAAGCCCTATAATTCTCAATCTAAATGATTGTTTTACATTTTCACCGTTTGTTTACCACGCATGAATATAAACCAGTGAAATCGACACCGTGTCCTACTACGTTACGAAAGAAGTTCCGGTATCAAGTTCATTTCCTCTACCAGTCTACAAAAGTATTACCATTTGCGAAAATAATAAGGTGCATTCGATTTAACCGTTATGCTTGTGAAGTGCATAACTGGGAAGATGCAGTTAATCTCATGAGGCAAAAATGAAAAATTCATTTGTTCTATTAGTTTTGTTTTTGATATGATTTGTAATGTAAGATACATTGAACATTCAGCCAATATTGATACTAAAATTCGATAAAAGTACAAATTGCACGATGCCTCTTACCAATATTCTCTATTTTTGATAAAGTCTGGCATGCCTTTATTAGAGACGGATGATACTAAAGGAACATGTAAACTCATGAGTCGAAGATAAAGACCTAAGATGGTTACTTGAGGCAGAAGCCTTTTGGCTATTTTTGTCGGTTGGGTTGATGTTATTGGACATATAATCACCACCCCTTTTATTCATTATGATAATACAAAAAGTAACATGCGTTGTCCTTACCAATAAAACTTGCCGCTGTTTATTATAGGATTAAATCTAATTTTGGACCCTACATTATTTCAAAAATGTATTAACAAAAATACCGAACTCTAAGGACAATTAGAAAATTATGGCCATAAATCTTAACAAAGCATAACGTTCGACTACATCAGCCAACGGACCGAACGGAAGACAACTTTCATATTCCGGACTTGGTACAGGCATTTGACGAAGACAATGATGTTTTTAAATTGGTTTTATAGCTAGCTAACACATTTTATGTATGATATTTGTCTATTGTTCCGATATATTGATAAAAATGTGCGAGCAACCTAAACAAAATGGTTAACATGACAATAATTTGGATCCTGATGCAAAATTTGTGTACACATACATCATAGATATATCACAAAACTATCTCAAAAGATCCAAACAAACATACAAAAAATTCTGACAAAGACGCCAGCAAAAACGCTTATGTTGTTGATAGAACATTATTGTAAAACATGATGAAATATACACTTTCTATATTAAGTAAAATATAAAATACATGTGTACACAAAATAAAAACAATACTATACAAACTCATGGGTTCGGGTCTCCTTTCGACCCACTCGCATCAGTAACGCCAATAGTCAAAAATACGAAAACTGGATGCATAAATACCGAGCCAAGTCAACCAATAGAAACATAGTACAAAGACAAATGAAAGACAAATGAAGGGAAAGCTGTATAAAGTAAACAAAATGATGATATAAACCCGCAACCGGAATTGAAACATTATATACCCTGTCTGAAACCTTTAAAGCAAAAACCATTTTTGTCTTTCTTAAGATACTTTCAGTTGACACGACAGATGTTTAAAATTATATATTACGTTTTAGATATAGACGACAAACATAAAAAGAAAAATGAAGATTTTGTTTATTTGCTTCGTATTTGGTAAGTCTGTTCTTTTAGATTTGAAGCTGCTTTTAAAGATTGTTGATAATATGATTAAAAAAATGTAATAAATAAGATTTCAAAAAAACAATTTTGATAACCATTGATATTACACGTAGTAACGTTATGATTTAAAATAGCTATATAGCAATATTAGGCATATTGAAATTATCATTGTTGCATATGTGATCTGTCGATTTTTAGATATATAACACTATCACTAATTCTTATTAATCATTTTTTTTTTATTAAATCGTAATGTTCAATGGCGTCAGTGATTGTCTATTCCAGATGGATATACCCTTATATTAACTTACTGTACAAGTTTTCTTTAAATCTATCTCAGTTGAATATTCATACATTGAAAATTCAATCTTAAAGATAACACTATCGTTTAATTTACCGATGATCAAATCTCATAAAATCCATTGGGGAAAAAATAGATTTTTAAAACAAACCAAGAGGGAATCGCATGAACTGCAAAAGGAGCAAGTCTGATTGCAAAGACATGGTATGATATATATATAAATAAGAAGATGTGGTATTCTTGCCAATGAGGCAACCCTTCACAATAAACCAAATGATACAGAAAATAACAACTATAGGTCACCGTACGGCCTTCAATAAAGAGTAAAACCCATACCACATAGTCAGCTATAAAAGGCTCAAAAATGAAAAATGTAAAACAATTCAAACGAGAAAAATAACGGTCTGATTTATGTACAAAATAATGAACGAAAAACAAATATGATATACAGCAACAAACGAAAACCACTGAATTACAGGCTCCTGACTCGGGACTGGCACATACAGAATGCGGCGGGGTTAAAAGTTAAAAGTTGAAGGCGCTAACACTCCCCTTAAGTGGTGTAACAGTACAACATAAGAACAAACTATAAAAATCAATTGAAAAGAGCTTAACTCATCAGATGGATATCAAGCAGAATTACATCTAACAAAAACGCAGAGTGGACGTGGCAGGGTACTTATAAATCTCCACAACAAAAAGACACTAAGTACAGATCTGAGAGTACTGCCATACTGACAGCTAGTTCAAAGCCAAATACAACTTATAAAAAAATCAGACATCTAAGACTAAAACATCAATCAGTATGCATACATTACCAGCCATGTCAATCCACATTGAGTTAAAAAGTCACAATCAGGAATTAGATGCGATCTCAGACGACTAATACAGTAAACAAATCCTAGATTGCGGCATTGATAGTATGGATTTTAATAATCAGTTTAACAGAGTCTAGCCAAATTCTTACAGGTAATCAAAACGTATTGATAATGTCAGCAGGCCAAATAAACGTTTGTTAGATCATACCCGTCATAAACGTATGACAAAGTCAATGTTTGGGAACCTGAACGTTCTTGAGAATTAGGTTGTAAACCAGCTTTAGATATAAGAAGATGTGGTATGAGTGCCAATGAGACAACTCTCCATCCAAGTCAAAATTTATAAAAGTAAACCATTATAGGTCACCGTACGGTCTTCAACACGGAGCCTTGGTTTACACCGAACAGTAAGCTATAAAGGGCCCCAAAAAATTACTAGTGTAAAACCATTCAAACGGGAAAACCAACGGTCAGCTTTGTTTATATAAACTTCATGGTCTAGATTAATTGTATGAAAATGGCCTCATAGATTTATCTTAATTCTCATGCAGGCCCAGGGATTGTATGTGTATTGAGTAGAAAATGTTTTGTTTATACGGAGGGTGAAACTAAACCAGCCATACCAAAGGGTGCCCGGTTTGGTAGAACATGTCATTACGCGACTAACAGCAACAAAAGGTACTGCATGGAATGGGATTGTCCCCCAGCTAACTGTTCTGATCCCATTATACCAGTTACTGGTTGCCCTTACTGTAAAGGTAAGTACATGTACAAGAATAACCATTAATGGTCAAAGTAAGTGTTGGTAAAATTAGTACCGTTAATGTTATTCTGATGGAGGCTATGTTATTCTCTAATTTAAACATAGTATGCAAACACACACACGTAATATCATACGAAATATCCAGTTATTAATTTCAATGTATATAGTGGTTCTTTTTTTATTAATTATGATTGCAGCTACAAAATATGAAAATATTTCCCTTTTCTGATAAGTTACAAAAATAAGTTTAATTTAAAAACAATAGGGTTATTTTGGCAAAAGAAAGTAGTTTGTATGCAAAATAAGCTTATGTATGTGATTTCCCTATTGGGAACCTTGTCTTTAGTTACATCTGTGTAATTATTGTTGTCTCACCTGCGACGTAGGTGGTAGAATGAGAGACATGTGGATGCTTATCCAGCGATTTCTATGAAGCTTTATATTTCATAAGGTAGACGATCTTCATTATTCATATCATGTTTACAGATTTTTTATCGTCTGACGTTTCCGTCTAGCATATATTCGTTGACCTCATTTCAAAGGTCTACTAGCTACTTTAAAGGTATATGTTTGTTTCATCACGGTATTGATTCAGTAATTATGCCATGATGTAATAGGAAAACTGTACTTGTTACATGTACATATGTGTCAGGATTTGTCCATTGTTACGATAAAGTAAATATTTAATGTACTATAATTAATATCATATAATATAAGAAAGTTCATTTAACTGTGATATAAAAATAAAGGAGATTGGGTATGATGGTTAATCAGACAGCTATCCACAAGAGTCAAATAACATGGATAAAACTGACTTTAGGGCATCGTCCCGTACGGCCTTCAACAAAAACCCATACCGTATAAGTCAGTCATAAAAGGCTCCGACGTTTTGTGTACATCAAAAGTGGATCAGTGTGACGTTTTGTGTACATCAATGATGTACCATTGTAACGTTCTTTGTTCGTCAATTGTACATCAGTGTACTTCTGTTGTGTATCAGTTTGACGTCCAAATTGCATTTATTGGTGCATCAGTGTGTCACTTAGCTATATCAATGGTGGAGCAGAGTGACGTTTAGTGTACATCAATGCTGGAATAGTGAGACGTTCAGTGTACATTAATATGACGCTCAATGTATATCAATGATGTATCAATGTGACGTTCAGTGTACATCATTGATGTATCAGGGTGACGTTCAGTGCACATCAATGATGCATAAGTGTCACGTTCAGTTTTAGATTATTTATCTGCTAATGACAGGTGTATCAGCTTGCCGTTCAATGTGGATCAATTTTGTATCAGTGTAACGTTCAGGGTACCTCAACAGCGTATCAGTATGTGGCTCATTATGCATCAATAGTGTATCAGAGGGACGTTTAGGGAATATCAATTGTAACATTAGGTGTTCATCAATGGTGTATCAATGTGACACTCAATGTTAAACAATGGTGTATCGGTGTGACATTTAATGTACATCAATTATTTAACAGTGTGACATTCAATGTACATCAATTGTTTATCAGTGTGACATTCAAGTTACAAAATTGGTGTATCAGTGTGTCACTCAGATATATCAATGGTGTATCAGAATGACTTTTAGTGTATTTCAGTGCTAAAACAATGTGATATTCAGTGTACATTAATGTGACGTTCTATGTGCATTAATATTGTATCAATATGACGTTCAGTGTACATCAAAGCAATGGCGTATCAGTTTGAAGATCAGTGTGCAACAATGATGTATCAGTGCGACGTTCATAGTTCGTCAATGCTGTATCAGTGTTAATTTCATAGTCCATCAATTGTGGATCAGTGTTACATTCAATGTACTTCTATGATGTACCAGTGTGACTTTCAGTTTGCATCAATATTGTATCAGAATTAATAGAGTGTACACCAATGATGTATCAGTGTGCCACTCTTGTAAATCAATGGTGTATCAGTGTGACGTTCAGTGTTCACTAATGTGACGTTCGGTATACATTAATGATGTATCAGTGTGATGTTCAGTTTTCATCAATATTGTATACGTGTCACGTTCAGCTTTTATGTTATTAATTTGTCAATGACAGTACGGAACATGATTTGCTTATAACAAATAAACAAATTTCCAGTTCCTTTATATAAATTAGTTGTGTTCGATGACCCAAGGTCAACCGATGTAAATACGCCATTGAACAATTGATTCTTATCATGACATAGTAACATAAACATTGTGACTTCGAAATGAATGGTGAATTCACGAATGTGGAAGTCGTCTATCTTGTTATTTCTAAATGATCCCAGAAAGCCCCTGTTTAGTCTTTTTACTGCAGTAGTATGATAATTGTGAATATTGGTTTTCGCAGGTACATGCATACATGACGGTAGAGTGTACAAGGAAGGTACAGTTTTCAAGTGTGATTGTAATATTTGTTCGTGTAGAATGTCGACGAGGGTGAGGTGTTTTTATACACTACCAAAAGTGTGCCTGTGATACATTCACCAGCAACATAATACTCGTAGTTTAATCATAATAAAATAAAAGATGAAAAGTTTTATATGTTCCTATTTGTTCAGTAAAAATTCAAATTTCTTTTATGTATTTATTGGCCATGAATTGCAACCTATATGGGATATATAGATTGCAGTTCATGGTACTGATTTTTAAGGGAACCTATGCGAACAGAAGAAACAAGAAAACAAAAATGTTTATTTTCTTAATTTCACGAGGACTGTCTTTTCAGGCCTGTGTAACTTCAAGAAACACGATAAATAATGACAGCTTTAAATATGAACTAGTATATACAGATTTCTTTATTTCAGCCATGAGACGAACCACATTGGTTCTAACTACAAATACCATGAAACTGTTGTATTTCTATCGACAATTTTTTCCCTGTCGACTTTTTGGTATAGGTTATTTGAAGCAAGCTGTCGGTATTTCATTTCACTTCTTCTGACCGACTTGTTTTTGTATGCATATGAAGCCGTTTCATAAACTTTCCCAAACTCTAAACAAAACAGTATTTTCCTAAATTATTAAGTATATCGTTCAGGTATATTGATAATATCATATCACTCAAACAATCTCCATTCAACAGAACATCACTTTAATTTATTTCACTATCATGTTCGTTTCGTCTATAACTTTTACTAAAACTCACAGTATCGCAATCTTCATATGTGTATTTTGAAGATACAAAAAGACACTGAATGCGTATTCTTAAATCCACGCCATATTGAATCTGGTGGATAGTTGTCACAATAGCAATCACACCATATATCTTCTTTTTTTTATGTTAATCTAAAAATGAAAACAACACCTTATAAATTGGATGCGTCGAAAGTGTCTTTTCTTGATTCACATTTAGGAACGACCAAAGCCAAATATTTGATAACCAAGGATTTTTTAAGCAAAACAGTTGAAAACTATATGACAGAAAGGACCTAAACATGACAGCTAAATCTATCTCAGTTATATGTGCCTTAATAATCTATAAACGTTAAGCGGACAAGTTTACAAAGGTTGTTATAAGAGATGTCAGAATCAAAGCAGTAACTACCCAACTGATGATACCATCGGGCACTGACAGTTCACCAGCAGCGGTATCAACCCAGCGATGTATAAAAATGAATACAAAATGTTGGTGCTACTGGGGCGCTTTTCTGGATTTACCTTAATCAGAAGCGCTCAATGCCAAATACATGAAAGCCATGGATGCATAAGAACCGAAACAGCTGAAGAGCTATGTGACCAAAATTTAACCAAATTTTGAGCCTTATAATAATTTTCCTGATAATATATCAATTTATAAACGGAAAATTGAAGAAAAGTTTGTGGTTTACATGTTGTAATGTACTATTATATTATTCATTCGTGTATTTCTCTGTCCTGAGTGTTCTTGCGTTTATTTGTACTGTATTCCTGTCACGTATTTTTGTCATTTTAGCAGTATTTTTAACATTGCCATATAAGCAGGAGGTTTGGCTAGCCATAAAAGCAGGCTCAACCCACCATTTTTTTCTTAAAATGTCCTGTACCAAGTCAGGAATATGGCAGTTGTTATCAATTAGTCCGTTTCTATGTATGTTGGCGTTTGTTTTTGTAGCAGTTCAGTGTTTCTGTTGTTCCGTTGTTTTCCTCTTATAGTTGATGTGTTTCCCTCGGTTTTGGTTTGTGACCTTGATTTGTTTCAGTTAAATCGATTTATGATTATTGAACAGCGGTATACTACTGCTGCCTTTATTTATATATCATGTCTGTACTTTGTTACTGGTGCAAATATGGATTGATTACACTGTCTTTTGATGGTTGAAAACCGTAACTTTGACAGCTTTTGACAAATTTTCAGCATTCATGTAAAGATAGGAATCTATAAATTTAAGGTTATTCCATTTAAATAGAGAGATTCTATAGAAAAATCATTTATTTATTTGTAGTAATAGCCGATGCTTATCCTTGGTTTTTTTTTATTTAGTTCTATAGAAGTAAATAGTGTTATCCCATTTAAATTTGTTTTAATGTAATAATGTTATAAATAATAACTTATTTAGAATATTTTAGACAACAGAAAAGTCGATTGATCTGTAGATTTACCGATTGTGTCATATTCTGCCTTTTAAAGTCCATACAATTCCCTCGCTTTTTGTTTTTATACCTTGATTTGTGTCTTCTTAAAGGATTTGTGGTATAAGAACATCGGAAAAGTACTGCTGCCTCTATTAAAAAGATTTCTTTATTTTGCTGATTTTTTGTAAAGTTTTGCAAGAACATACATTATTTTGCAGATAAGTCGTGTTAGGGTTATAGAACTTTGTCCATGTCATTTACAATCAATTACTGCGTCTACGTGCAAAACGTCGTTAACCAACATATATTTTTTAAATCTTTCACCAATTATTGATAATTTTGTATTAAAACACTCCTATCTTGATCTTTACAAATATGTCTCTTCTAAGTAATGAAAGTCTGTTCTATAAACCAACATAAAATATACTGTAAATGGTGACAATATTATTTGCTCTTCTTTTCAATTTCTGTGATCTAGAATTACACAAGCTCCTTATAATAGATAATGGTATCTTACAGTTTTTGCCAAATGATTTTAGAAACTTTTTACAAATTTGATATGTTAAATACCTTTCCTAATAACAGTAAAATGGTTTCAGAAAAACTCAAAAAGAGACAAATATTGTAAAAGAGTTATCATATGTGGATTCCTAAGGTTCATTAAAATCTCAAAGTCTATCACTGTATAGCTGTATTCATTCGCTTTCAATTAATACGATTTTAAATTTGCCATCACAAATTTGTTGATTGGTATAATATGTCTATGTCTCAACTCACTAACGACGTATTTTGGTAGTCTTGGATCTTTAGATTTCAGAATAGTTATATGATCTGTAATTTTACCTATTGTGTCTTATTCCCGATTGTAAAATTTTGACTGCATGTGGATTCGCATTGGGAGTAATGCATGGATTACTTACGCTAGGAAGTGATTACCTTAGCTGTATTTGGCAAAACTCTCGGAATTTGGGTTTTCAATGCTCCTCAACGTTGTAATTTATTTGGCCTTTTGAATTTGTGGGTGACATTCAAGTTACATAATTGGTGTATCAGTGTGTCACTCAGATATATCAATGGTGTATCAGAGTGACTTTTAGTGTATTTCAATGCTAAAACAATGTGATGTTCAATGTAGATTAATGTGACGTTCTATGTACATTAATGTTGTATCAGTGTGACGTTCAGTGTACATCAATGCAATGGCGTATCAGTTTGAAGATCAGTGTGCAATAATGATGTATCAGTGCGACGTTCATAGTTCATCAATGGTGTATCAGTTTTAATTTCATAGTACATCAATTGTGGATCAGTGTTACATTTGGTGTACTTCTATGATGTATCAGTGTGACTTTCAGTTTGCTTCAATATTGTATCAGAATTACTATAGTGTACACCACCGGTTTATCAGTGTGCCACTCTTGTATATCAATGGTGTATCAAAGTGATGTTTAGTGTACACTGATGCAGGATCAGTGTGACGTTCAGTGTTCACTAATGTGACGTTCGGTGTACATCAATGATGTATCAGTGTGTCGTTCAGTTTTCAGCTTTTATGTTATTAATTTGTCAATGACAGTACGGAACATGATTTGCTTATAACAAATAAACCAATTTCCAGTTCCTTTATATAAATTAGTTGTGTTCGATGACCCAAGGTCAACCAAGGTAAATACGCCATTGAACAATAATTATTGATTCTTATCATGACATAGTAACATAAACATTGTGACTTCGAAATGAATGGTGAATGCACGAATGTGGAAGTCGTCCATCTTGTTATTTCTAAATGATGCATGTCTGTTATCATCCCAGAAAGCCCTTATTTAGTCTTTTTACTTCAGTAGTATGATAATTATGAATATTGGTTTTCGCAGGTACATGCATACGTGACGGTAGAGTGTACAAGGAAGGTACATCTTTCAAGTGTGATTGTAATACATGTTCGTGTAGAATGTCGACGAGGGTGAGGTGTTTTTATACACTACCAAAAGAGTGCCTGTGATACATTCACCAGCAACATAATACCCGGAGTTTAATCATAATAAAATAAAAGATGAAAAGTTTTATATGTTCCTATTTGTTCGGTAAAAATTCAAATTTCTTTTATGTATTTATTGGCCATGAATTGCAACCTATATGGGAGATATAGATTGCAGTTTATGGTACTGTTATTGTTTTTCAAGGGAACCAAGCGAACAGAAGAAACAAAAAAACAAAAATGTTTATTTTCTTAATTTCACGAGGACTGTCTTTTCAGGCCTGTGTATCTGCACGAAACACGATGAATAATGACAGCTTTAAATATGAAGTAGTATATACAGATGTCTTTATTTAATCCATGTGACGAACCACATTGGTTCTAACTACAAATACCATGAAACTGCTACCGTTGTATTTCTATCGACAATTTTTTCCCTGTCGAATTTTTGGTATAGGTTTTTTGAAGCAAGCTGTCGCTATTCCATTTCACTTCTTCTGACCGACTTTTTTTTCTATGCATATGTAGCCGTTTCAAAAACTTTCTAAAAATCTTTAAAAAAACAATATCTCGCTGAAATATTAAATATATCGTTTGATAATATTATATCACTCAAAAAATCTCCATTCAACAGAACATCACTTTAATTTATTTCACTATCCTGTTCGTTTCGTCTATAACTTTTACTAAAACTCACAGTATCACAATCTTCATATGTGTATTTTGAAGATACAAAAAGACACTGAATGCTTATTCTTAAATCCACGCCATATTGAATCTGGTTGATAGTTGTCACATTAGCAATCACACCATATATCTTTTGTTTTATGTTAATCAAAAAATGAAAACAACACCTTATAAATTGGATGCGTCGAAAGTGTCTTTTCTTGATTCACATTTAGGAACGACCAAAGTCAAATATTTGATAACCAAGGATTTTTTAAGCAAAACAGTTGAAAACTATATGACAGAAAGGACCTAAACATGACAACAAAATCTATCTCAGTTATATGTGCCTTAATAATTTATAAACGTTCGGACAAGTTTACAAAGGTTGTTATAAGAGATGTCAGAATCAAAATAGTGACTACCCAACTGATGATACCCTCGGGCACTGACAGAACACCAGCAGCGGTATCAACCCAGTGATGTATAAAAATGAATACAAAATGTTGATGGTACTGATGCGCTTTTCTGGATTTACCTTAATCAGAAGCACTCAATGCCAAATACATGAAAACCAAGGATGCATAAGAACCGGAACAGTTGAAGAGCTATGTGACCAAAAAGTAACTAAATTAATAGCCTTAAAATAATTTTCTTGATAAATTATAAATTTATAAACGGAAAATTGAAGAAAAGTTTGTGGTTTACATGTTGTAATGTACTATTATATTATTTATTTATGTATTTCTCTGTCCTGAGTGTTCTTGCGTTTAGTTGTACTGTTTTCCTGACTCGTATTTTTGTCATTTTAGCAGTATTTTTAACATTGCCATATAAGCGGGAGATTTTGCTAGCCATAAATCCAGGTTCAACCCACCATTTTTTCTTAAAATATCCTGTACCAAGTCAGGAATATGGCAGTTGTTATCAAATAGTCCGTTTCTATGTATGTTGGCGTTTGTTGTTGTAGCAGTTCAGTGTTTCTGTTGTTCTGTTGTTTTCCTCTTATAGTTGATGTGTTTTCCTCGGTTTTGGTTTGTGACCTGGATTTGTTTCAGTTAAATCGATTTATGACTAATGAACAGCGGTATACTACTGTTGCCTTTATTTATATATCATGTCTGTACTTTGTTACTGATTAAAATATGGATTGATTACACTGTCTTTTGATGGTTGAAAACCGTAACTTTGACAGATTTTGACAAATTTTCAGCATTCATCTAAAAATAGGAATCCATTAATTTAAAGGTTATTCCATTTGAATAGAGAGATTCTATAGAAAAAAAATAGCCGATGCTTATCCTTTGTTTTTTTTTTATTTAGTTCTATAGAAGTAAATAGTGTTATCCCATTTATATTTGTTTTAATGTAATAATGTTATAAATAATAACTTATTTGGAATATTTTAGACAACAGAAAAGTCGTCTGATCTGTAGATTTACCGATTGTGTCATATTCTGCCTTTTAAAGTCCATACAATTCCTTCGCTTTTTGTTTTTATACCTTGATTTGTATCTTCTTAAAGGATTTGTGGTATTAGAACATCGGAAAAGTACTGCTGCCTCTATTAAAAAGATTTCTTTATTTTGCTGATTTTTTGTAAAGTTTTGCAGGAACATACATTGTTTTGCAGATAAGTCGTGTTAGGGTTATAGAACTTTGTCCATGTCATTTACAATCAATTACTGCGTCTACGTGCAAAACGTCGTTAAACAACATATATTTTTTTAAATCTTTCAAAAATTATTGATAATTTTGTATTAAAACTATCCTATCTTAACCTTTACAAATATGTCTCTTCTAAGTAATGAAAGTTTGTTTTATAAACCAACATATGATATACTGTAAATGGTGACAATATTATTTGCTCTTTTTTTCAATTTCCGTGATCTAGAATTACACAAGCTCCTTATAATAGATAATGGTATCTTACAGTTTTTGCCGAATTATTTTAGACACTTTTTACAGATTTGATATGTTAAATACCTTTTCTAATAACAGTAAAATGGTTTCAGAAAAACTCAAAAAGTGTCATATAGTGTAAAACAATTACCATATGTGGATTCCTGAGGTTCATTAAAATTTCAAAATCTATCGCTAAATAGCTGTATTCATTCGCTCTCAATTAATACGATTTTACAGTTGCCATCATAAATTTGTTGGTTGGTATAATATGTCTGTGTCTCAACTCTCTATCAACGCATTTTGGTAGTCTTGGATCTTTAGACTTCAGAATAGTTATGTTATCTGTAATTTTACCTATTGTGTCTTATTCCCGATTGTAAAATTTTGACTGCATGTGGATTCGCATTGCGAGTAATGCACGGATTACTTACGCTAGGAAGTGATTACCTTAGCTGTATTTGGCAAAACTCTCGGTCTTTGGGTTCTCAATGCTCCTGAACGTTGTAATCTTTTTGGCCTTTTGAATTTTTTATTCGTTCGTCACTGATTAGCCTTTTCAAACGCGTCTGTCGTACACAATTACAAGCCCTGTATCTTTGATGGTTTTTTCACGCTGTCGAGGTATATGCTTTATGTTATTTCCTCTGTTTTTTTACCCTGTCGAGGTATCTGCTTTATGTTATTTCCTCAGTTTTTTACCCTGTAGAGGTATCTGCTTTATGTTATTTCCTCAGTTTTTTTACCCTGTCGAGGTATCTGCTTTATGTTATTTCCTCAGTTTTTTCACCCTGTCGAGGTATCTGCTTTATGTTATTTCCTCAGTTTTTTACCCTGTAGAGGTATCTGCTTTATGTTATTTCCTCAGTTTTTTTACCCTGTCGAGGTATCTGCTTTATGTTATTTCCTCAGTTTTTTACCCTGTCGAGGTATCTGCTTTATGTTATTTCCTCAGTTTCTTTACCCTGTCGAGGTATCTGCTTTATGGTATTTCCTCAGTTTTTTCCACCCTGTCAAAGTATCTGCTTTATGTTATTTCTTCAATTGTTTTACCCTGTCGACATATCTGCTTTATGTTATTTCCTCAGTTTTTTTTACCCTGTCGAGATATCTGCTTTATGTTAATTCCTCAGTTTTTTACCCTGTCGAGGTATCTGCTTTATGTTATTTCCTCAGTTTTTTCACCCTTTCGAGGTATCTGCTTTATGTTATTTCCTCTGTTTTTTACCCTGTCGAGGTATCTGCTTTATGATATTTCCCTCAGTTTCTTTACCCTGTCGAGGTATCTGCTTTATGGTATTTCCTCAGTTTTTTCACCCTGTCGAAGTATCTGCTTTATGTTATTTCTTCAATTGTTTTACGCTGAGGAAAACAAAGGAACAACAGGAACACTGAAGTGCAAAAAAAACAAACACCAACATACACAGAAACGAACTATTTGATAACAACTGCCATTTTCCTGACTTGGTACAGGACGTTTTAAGAAAAAATGGTGGGTTGAACCTGGTTTAATGGCTAACCAAACCTCCCGCTTACATAAACTACTGTTGTCTTGATTTACAATGTACGAAATAATTCATTTTGAACTGATAAGAATACCAATACTTCACCAATAACAAAAACCAGACCAATGTAGGTATTCTGTAAATCTACAGGACAATAAAAGTATATCATTCTGTAGATTTGTTTCTATATTTTTATGGAACAAAACACTTTAACAGTGACAAGATGAGGTATGATTGCCAATGAAACAACTATCCATCAGAGACAAAATAATCTTGTGTAAACGAAACGAACGTCTGGCGTACTAAATTATAAGACTAGTATATTTGATGATTTTTTACCTACACTGTAAGATCCTAAACGTGACAATGAAAGTGATGGTTCTCTCTGATAATTCGAAAAATTCTTTGTCGGTTCGTATATATGCTATTCGTTCCTTGTTTTGTTTTGTTTTATCTTATCTCCGTTTGTTTGAATCCTTGTATTTGTCTACGCCTTTATGATTTTTTATGAATATGATTGATACCGTTACTTCTTTTCAATGGACGAATGCAATTTCAGATTTTCATCTTGTAAAAGACTTGGTATAAAAAAAACTCCTTATTTTGCTTTTTTGCTTGCCACTGCTGATAGACCGTGATTTGCCCAGTGTTCAATCCACAAAATAGTCATCACTATAGCATGGTCATGCTTCATATGTTGCATTTTACTTAAATCGGTCCGTTGGTCCATATGATATAAGCTTATAGTTTTATCAGATTTTATGGACTGTACCATTTTGAATTCACATTGGAGTTCGTTAGTTTTGTTATTACATTTATTTTGTTTTAGTTCATTAATTTTCTTAAACTAAGGCAGACTTAATTAAAGTCTATTGGTTGTTTTAAAAAAGGCAAATTAGGTTTGGACGTTGACAAACGTTTAATGTTTTAGTCTTTCCTAACATTTTTTTGTCTAAATGTTCCTGACTATGTTTATTCTAGAAACATGGGAGACCTGCACTGCAATCGGTATGTTCAGATCTCTAGTGTATCTGGTGATATTTATCTTTGTTTTTCTATGTTGTGTTTTGTGTACTGTTGTTTGTCTGTTTGTCTATTTCTTTTTTAACCATTGCGTTGTCCGTTTATTTTCGAGTTGTGAGTTTGAATGTCCCTTTTGGTATCCTTCGTCTCTCTTTTATCTAGTAACACAAGTCGTGTGCAGTAGAATTAGTAAAGATTGCCGTATTTATCTTGATTTTCCTGAAGTTCAAGTGTTTTTGTCTTACAACTAAGCAGTTGTTATCAGATAGTCCGTTTCTATGTATGTTGGCGTTTGCTTTTGTTGTAGTTCAGTGTTTCTGTTGTTCCTTTGTTTTCCTCTTATAATTGACGTGTTTTCCTCCGTTTTAGTTTGTTATTCGGATTTGTTTTTGCTTAATCGAATTATGACTATTGAACAGCGGTATACTACTGTTGTCTTTATTCATACATCCTTGTTTTTCAATGGTTCGGGATTGATTGATCCTGATGATGGTAACTCAAGAAATCGATTTGGACGAACGAAATTGATAAAGTGTTATTTTTAGTTTAACTTTTAATAAAGATTTCCATTTATCTTTATATCAAAGTTGAGATAATACAAACTAAAAATGTTATATATATGCCATGACGTCACAAAAGATGTTGTCCCACGCACAAATTTGTGAATAAACTATTATCGTTTTGAATGTTTGTCGTCTCTCATCCCAATTACCTGTTTAACGCAAAACGCATATGATTGTGTAATTGTATACAATAATAAGGCAAAATAACGCCATAAGAACACTTAGGCAACTGATCTTTTGATATGGAAAGGAACGTTTTCTTAAAAGATATCAACGTAATAGTGTAGTGAGATCTTTGAATAGTGTCTTTATCTGCTCGCAAAATATTTAGGTTCAGGTTTTAATGAGTCGAAAGTGAAAGGAAAGTTGTTTCTAGAACTGAAAGTTTAACGGGAATGGTGGTATAACAAATTCAATTGTTAATGTCACCAAAGGCAAAGATTTTAAAGTAGATCGAGTATGCTTATCAAAATCAACTGTACGTAAGGGCGATAACTACTGAAGTTTAACCTTATACAAATTCAGTTGTCATAGTCGGTAAAATAAATCCCTTAATCTTAAATTTTGTAGTTGTTAAACTTTAATTTCTTAGATACAGTGCACAAAGATATTTAACTCTATGAAACTGTTTTTTATAAAATTCTAAAATATCCAATTTAAACTAGCAGATTAGGATGATTTTTGTTACTAACAATTGTAAATAGTCCCATGTATTCGGCATTGAATAATTTTGTAGCTTTCAAATGTCTATCAAATTATTTTATCGTATGTTTCCTTCATATTTTACAACGGGGACTAAGAAAGGGGACGATTGCTCTAAAATATACATCATCAACAGTACTTCTGAGGACGTACTACTCTTACACAGGCACGACTATATTTGTACATGTTTGCAATTTTATTCGATCACTGAAATATGGTGTAATATTGGAGATTTCGTTTCCACCAAAAAGACTTAAAATTTCAGTTAGGCTAACAACTTTTGTTGCATTTTAGAAATTAACAATAAGATGTTGGACAGTATCGTTTTGTCACTTTCAATTGTCTGTTGTCTTTATTGTTCCTCTTGACCATCGTCCCCATATCTAATTTTACAAAGAAAATAAACATCCTGTCTCTTCTACAGATTATGTACGTGTATTTTATTCTTATGTCGTTTCGCGTGATATCTTGTTTTGTTTTTTGTAAGGGGTAATAAATCAGACTATGAGTTTATCCTTCTCTTACAACTTCTATTTTTCATATAAAAAACTAAAGATTTGGCTTAATTTTTTATTTTACATTTTAAATGATATACAATGAAAAGTTTTTGTTTTGATTATTATTATGCAAAGTTTCACAGTTTTTATAACATTGATGATCTTACAAAATCAAAACATCATATCACAACTTCAGATATTTAAATAATATGTGTACCCTGAAAACAGACAAAAAGGTCAGCAATTTAAACATGTTATTTATTTACATACAAGCAATGGTAAACAAATTAATGAAAACTTGATAAATAAGTTTGCTCAGCATGTAAAGACCTCATCAAAATTAAAGTCTCTATAGTGTAAACTTGAGAGCCTTACCAGTTAATCCTTAGCGAACAAATTTAACATTTTACTAAGTTAACTCAAAATTTTACGGGAAAATGTCACATTTTTTCTCCCGGAAGACTTGATAGACATGCTATTAATTTTCCCAAGTGTCAATATAGTTTGGAAAATGAGAGATAAGATTTAAGATGTTGTAAATAGACAAACAAAGCAAAATTAAAACCAATAAATTTTCCTACGTTTTGCCTTACTGACAAAACCCTTGATTTATCCCTTGTTACCAAATTAATGTTATAATAGTTTCACATTGAAAATAGAGAGGGAAATTATACCTATATGCTGTAATTTCATATCATATTTTGCGATAATATCTAATAATTTAAAAGCAACAAAGGCCTGTCCCTTAATGAAAGTATTTCCTTTTCACAGAAATTATATTACTGATTTTTATTCAGAAGGAAACAAAGACTTTATTGTTACATCAAGAGAAACGCAGGACATATTTATAGAGCTTAACATAAAGAATAGGTTTCTAAAGGCTTTTCGCAAACCTTCAAGTATTTTTATTTCCTTTCATGTTACTTTTGGTGTATGATTTATTCCTAGTTACCACCTTTACTTATTTAGATTACTAAATACCGTGTTTATGCTTTTTTTAAGTAAGGAAATCAGGTCAGACTTAAAAAGATACCGCTTCATGTTGTAATAAGATGCTATTCGTAGATTCGTTAATATTCAATTTGTCATGGCGCAAATTAGCTTGATCAAGGCAAAATTTAACATTTCATAAATTGCTGCCAATAATTATGTTTTTCAAGGCTCACAAACAAGTGAAAGTATATAAAAAGTGAGATTAGTAAAACAATGGAAAAATAAGAGATATGATAAGAGCCATTATGTGGCCCATGAAATCGGAAAAATAGTAAATTTATTCAAGTCTTTCAAACCTATATTGATTTAATTGATAAATGAACAGGCTAATATTATCTGGATAATTTAGTGCAGAAAGGTCAATTAAAAAGGTAAGAAGTTAGAAACCCGTATGCCAATATGCAAGAAAACCCTAAAAATAATATAATACTGATGTCCGACAGACTTATGTCTTATTACCATCTGATTATTGGTAATTTGAAGATTTATAACACTTTTTCAATTTTTAATTTCAAGGGACCAAAAAGTGGCATTAGCATACCTTCTTCTCTTTACTTCAAAATCTGAAGCTAGCTTCCTTCTGGTCCTTTTTTTTGTTTGTTTGTTTATACAATTATGACAAAAGTTGATAACAAATATATTGACAAGTGTAGAACTCAAAAATGAAATATTTACAGTTAAAAAAAATGACCGTCGACATCTATATACAATGATAGCTAAAAACTTTTAGTGCATTATAGACCTATAAATACCAACCATAACAGTATTGCTCTTGCATTCATAACGAAATCAAGCATTAAAGACATTACGTAACGAATACATGAATACAACAAATGTGTTTTTAAATTTTAATTATTGAACAACCTTTTTGCCAATTTATTGATTTTCAGCAATAAACCTCCTTGTCATTTTGCTGAAAAGTACCACAAATACTATATACCTGAAACTGCAAAATATTGCATTTAGTAATACCGTGATGCAAACATTGTTCAATTAGGAGGTTGTGGAACTATGAAACATAAAACACTGAATGGTAACGTGGTAAGAAACATTTGTCATGATATCAGACTGTTTTGAAGTCGTTTACATGCAACAAAGTTGCATTTCCAGTATACTGAAAGAAAACCTGTTTTTATCAACTTTCAGAATTATTGAATTATCATTGAAACATCTTCATAGCATACGTCATTACATTGCAGGAACCCGCTTTACCGCTATGTTTTTATCTCTGTTAAAAACTGAATAGACATTAATAAAACAAACACCACAGTAATGCAATAATAAATAATGTCATTAATGTTATGATTTTGTTCCTTTCTCCTTCTTTTTGTCCTTCTTTAGAATCTCTTGTGAAACCAGTTTGTTCATTAGATCACTCGTGGTGGTAATATCATCATCTTTTCCTGGAATGATTGTTATTTTTGATTTTTCACCTTTTGATTTTTGATTTTTGTTTTTCTTGCCACGTCTTCCGCGTTTATTCTTATTCTTATTCTTTTTCTTATTTTTATTCTTCCGTTTTTTATTTCCCTTTGTCTTCACTTTACCGTCGCGTCTTCGTTTTTTACTACGCATACTCTTCCGGCGTTTCCGCATTAATTTGCGCATGCGTTTTTGACGCCTTTTTTCAAGTCGGCGTTTTCGCCGAACTTCTCTGTCAACACCACCAGTTTTGTGTGATCTGACTAAGTAACCTCTGTCTATATAATTGGAGTAGTCAGGTGACTTAATAGGTTGTGTAACCACCACAGGGTCGTTTGAACCTAAACCGATCATTGGTTTCTGTATTACATTAGTTTGTTGATTAGGCATGCATTCGCTTTCACATTCAGTCTTTGATTTAAAGTTATTTTCATTTCCTCTGCAGCCTTGAAAATAAAACCAGCTACATTTTTGAATGTGAGTATTGAAATACCAACGTACCCATCTTGCTCCACAGTTTCCCGGTTGTGGAGGTTTTTGACAAATTCTCAATTTAACTATAAAAGAATACAAAATAAAATGTATGAAAACATAGATGCAAAAATTAATGTTTATTGTATATGTCCAGTATCTTTTGTACTTAATGGTCAATGGTTTTGGTGGGGTTCGTGTTGCTCATTCTTTGGTTTTCTATGTTGTTTTTTTGTGTACTGTTATTTGTCTGTTTGTCTTTTTCTTTGTTAGCCATGGCGTTGTCAGTTTATTTTTCGACTTATGAGTTTTAATGTCCCTTTCGTATTCTTCGCCTTTCTTTTACACTGTCGTATTGAAGAACGAAATTAGTCAGACAAGATAAGTAACTTGTACAGTTCTCAGTTTGTACAAAATCAATAATCAGGCTCTAATACCGTAGGTAAATACTTTTGGCGAAATGCTTAATATTTTCGGCATGGGAAATCTATTGTGTATATGGAATTAAAACTGCACACAAATTGTTTTATTTTGTGTGTGAATATATTAATATGTTCGTATGTATTAGTAATCTAATTCATCGGTAGTCCTGAATATGCATGAAATATTGGCCATTTGACGTAAAGCAAATAAGATTTCCATGTCATTTGAACTTTGGTGGATACTTGTCTCATTGGCAATCATACCACATCTCCTTATTTTTATAAGAGTCAATCTTCGGTTTTGTATTTCAATTTTTCAGGACATTGTGATAGATAGAGTTATCTTTCTTTGAATGATTGTCGTTGATCTAAAATTAGATACAAGAACATGATGTATGTATGTAGCAACGAGAAAAACAAAACAGAAACATTACTTACAAAACTTATTGAACGATAATAACATAAGAAAAAATTGTATTAAAACTATATAAACCAAAATTTAAATACGACAAATGAAATAAAAAACAACTTAAATGTAACAAATAATAACTAAATAATGAAAATAAAAATAAAACAAAAACTCTATCTACCTTGTATCAACATACCCGAGATTTCACTTTCCGGGACACAAATGGGAAATGACATATTCATTGGCCATGATAGGTGTTGTATTACACATAAACTGCCTTCAGTACAGCTTTTCTTCCATTCCTTAAATAAAATGTATCATTATTATAATCGAACACTAAGAGCATAGCACACATTAATTTGCAATAGATATTCTAAGAAACCTAAACGAACATTCCGATCAAAATATCACGCTTTGCTCAATGTTTGGTGGCTGTCTTTATTTACATTTACCCAATCTCCTTCTCCATGCTAAGAATTAAGGTTACGTATGCGGCCCATAAAAAAGCAATACATAATACAGAATTAAAGTCTGAAAGCCTAAATACTTATACATTATTAAAAAAACTTAGTAAAGCTGAGCAAAAACTGCGAACCAGAAATATTTTAAGACGGCCAATATAACTACGATTTTTACCCCTGACGATACTGAAAAAGTCTGAATTTTACTCGACACATCTGAAAAAGTCTTAAAATTACTCGACGCAACTATTAAAGTCTGTATTTCAATCGACCAGTCTGTAAAAGAGTACATTTTAATTGATCACTCTGTTAATGTCTGTTACTATTTTTGTCTAAACTTACAAACTTGGACAAAAACGGAGCCTTTCTCTGAACCGTATACTTAATCGAATCTAACCGGTACTTGACCAAGTCTGTACAGTTTTTGACTAAGTCCATACTTTACAGTCTGGATAACCCTGACTGATCTTTGTTTATACCTGTTCATTACAGTTTAGATCTGATCATTAATAGCTCTCCGAACAAAATACAGATAGTTCAAATAAGACACAAATCAGGACAAATAGAGACATTGCAGAGTTATTGAAGTAATATTCAATACAGACAGCTGCACATAAAAGTTTCTTTAAATCTTCCTTGTTTGTAGTGAAATATAATCATTGCAATAAATCACTTAAACTTTAATGGTTTTATATAACTCCAAAGTATGGGTACTGGAACAAGCTGGTAATTTTTTAGTTTCTCCTTCTTTTAGGTTTATAAAACATTTTGTCACTAGACCTATTTTCAGGAGTGTTATTAGTGTCCTTCACCTTGAAAAAGTCCAATTATAAATGTATATACATACCTTGCATTTTAGTTCTGCATCTTTACCGATTGTAATTCTGTTTGCTCCAGTTACCTGAAAACAAATAAATAAATCAATTAACACTTATGTTTTTACATATTTCTACATTTTCCGTTATTCTTATCGTATGCATCCAATACAAATAATTCTAATGTCGCAAAAAAGCAGTGATTTATTTACCAGTGCATTCAGGAGCACAGGATATGTTACATATAAAGAGCTAAAATAAATATCTTTCAAACATTTAGTCTGATATAATAATACAAAGTATGTTTGATCTCTAGATCGTCATATGAATATGTAGACATAGATAAAGCTAATAAAAAAATCCTTTCCTGGTGCTGCAAAACATGTTTTTCGTTCAAAGCTTTATCAAAGGGATCTGAGACAAAGTTAAGATATTTTCAATAAAATTTATTAGTCGTTTCGGTTTATTTATTTATTTTTTTTTCAATTGATGCATTCTTGTTATCTTAAATGAGGAAAGTTTATATGCAGCGCCTCTCGACTTGTTTTGGAAAGGACAACAAAGATTGGAAATTTAAATGTAAAAAAACACAGGAAAATGGGTCCATACTTGGAATATCTGTGGACATCAGCTGACATGTTTTAAAGGCGATCACAGTGGGAAGTATCAGTAAGACCGCAAAAGGTATGAATCGGGGAGGAATTTAGGAGCAAGATTCTGGAATAAAATAGCCCTTGCAGAACAAGCTACTAGTAATATCTTTTAGATGCAAACAATTAAGTTTCTTTTATACAATCCGCAATTAAACACAGCAATATTCATTTATAAACCAAGGATCAGCTCAATATCTATTCATAGGCCGAAAAATATTGGGTTTCGGGATGACTGAAGGACGGACATTGTCGTGGGTATCACTACATGGCCCGGTCACTGACCGGCGGAGAATTTCAAGAAATCAGTATAAATCAAAGTCGAATTCGCTTTACAACTGCACAATAGTTTCCGGAACAATCTACGCACTAAAACCCCAATTTTTGATTACATTTACTTCAAGCACCTGTTAAGTTGTTGAAGCCGTGGAGTTTAGACATTTACCAATGCCAAGCCTTGTTCTTTATCAATGGTTTACATCTTAGAAGTGTCTGCTAATAATATTAACAAGAAATTACATCAACATAATGTTTGATCCTCGTAATGATATTGTTTGATCATGGTTATTATTAACATTTATAAAACAATTAGCAGTGATCAATTACATCTGATGGGCTTTTTGACGGAACTATAAATACTTCTGTTATGGATATCGTATGCCTTTGTTGGTACTTCAAGAAATGCAGTAATATGTTTATCGAAAACATAAACATATTTCAGAAGAAAAATTATTCAAACTTTCAAACGTTTCATTGAAGATAAACACATTTAAGATGAATAATTAATGAGAATAAATTAAGTTAGCAAAGGAATCATCCACCTGTCCTAAGTAATAGTTGCTTACATATATGACTCCAAACTTGCGAATGTCTATGATGTAGCAATACGATTTTTCCTAATTTTTAGTTAATTACTTTCCATTTAATTACAAGAAACTCCCAAATTTATATTTAGCATGCAAATGATTGTGCATAAGGATCTGGAATTAGCAAACATGACGAACCAATCTCCTGAATGAAACATTGGTCTATTTAAGAAAATGTAATTGATATTCGTATTGAAAGTTGTTCCAAAATAGTTGCAATTTAATCAAATTAAATCAGTCCATTCCTATAAAATGTCTCCGGGAGGAGCAAAATAGTTAATTCGGCTGAGTGTCGAAATGTAATAATCATTCTTGGAAATATTTTTTCTGGAAAATCGGCCGTATGCATCATTATTTATTACGTTTATTTTGCAGTATTGTACACAGCTACTTTTGCATAGGTACTATTTCTGTACCAAAATTCTGTAGTACTGGAAATCTACATTTAATATTCAGTACTATTTTGTTACTTTAAAATTATTGTAATATTTAGGTACCTGTATTTTACAGTACTTGATTTGTACTTGAAACTTAATTACTACAGATTTTTGGTTACACCGTTACATTTTTCAGCATTTTGAAAGTTTGTCTATTTCAAATCTCTTAAAGTTATTATTTTTAAACATGGAATATTGCGATCAGTATTGGTATTATTTCTGTACCAAAATTTCAAGTACAAATCAAGTACTGTAAAATACAGGTACCTAAATATTACAATAACGTTTAAGTCATGAAATAGTACTAAATATCAAAAGTAAATTTCCAGTACTACAGATTTTTTGTACAGAAATAGTACCTATGCAAAAGTAGCAGTGTATATTCATTGATCAAAAACAACATGATAACATTTTTTTTTGTCAAACACCTATTCAAGTGACTTACTTCACATAAAACTTGATTAAGCAAAGCTATAGGAACCTGTCTATAAAGGGCAGTATTAAAAACCCAAATTTCTATCGCACATCCATCCGTGTGTACAACAGTTCATAAAACATTATTTAAAGTTCTATTTCTAAAAACATAACGTAGACGGCAATAGGGCAGACCTTTGGAACTTTACATTCTAGAAGTATAGGTTTGATAATTGCATTCGACTCTGTTTCCAGTGAACTCATTTTACAACCCTGAAATATACTTCATATATGCTACAATATAAGAATATAAATCAGTTCTGTCGCAATTAAGATACGAAAAAATTCTGATTGTAAAAGAGACGACCGACTATCTGACAAAGAGCCTACGTTACTTGATTCATATGGTAAGAAGACATAATCACTATGTTTTTGGACTACTTTATTTGTTTGATACTTTCATATAAGTCAACAAATCGTAGGCTAAATACCAGTCTGAAGTACCTAAATTATCACATAATTACAGTGTATCCTTAGACCACTCGCTGAGGACTTTGAATGGATACATTAATTACGCCTATCTGGTACCACTGAAGAGGGTATTAAACACCCGATGACCTTTAATACACAGCGGGAACCTGTTCATTGTCTTCTTTCTACTGATAATGGACAATAGTTATACAAACAATGTGTAAGCTATGTTATAATGTGTTATAAAAATAAGAAAAATGTGAAAATGAGAAACCCGTTATGTTTTTCAATAAAATTAGAAAGACATTTTACGAAATGCAAGCTGCTCTATTTTGCTACAGTATTCTACTCAATAATGTTTTTGCGAAGAAGAAGATAAAACCCATAAAAGCAATAGAATGATTATCTTGTAAGGCGATACGAAACCTGTCGCAATGCAACTATACCATCAGTAGATTTTTGTTCCTAGAGAGACTGCCTTTTTATGAAATACATTGATCTTTCTTTAAAGCAGAAAGGAATTGAAATTCTTTAAATGTTTACCTTATTTTTTATGTTGATGTGCACTCATATTCAAAGAACATATTTTTAGCAACCAAGATTTTTTAGAATTAATGAAAAGCAATAGAAGGCTGATATAAAAGCGAACCACAGAGGGAAGTGCGAAGTTGATTACAGTTTTATGTCTTATTAACTGATATTAGGTGAATTAATGTCATACACTCTCTTTGTAAGAAGACCTCTTTTATTTATAATTAACTATTCCTCTGTGACGGAATCTATCATTTCCATGTCCGACCTAACTTCAGAGCTTAGACATTTGTAGCTATTTGATTACAGTATTAAAACGTAATAGAACGTCAATTGATTTTCTTCATCAATTATTAGAACTTAATTAACTCAGAATATGCAACAAGTCCCCATTAAAATTGCTATGTCGCTAGAAGCCAGCATAAAAGAGTATGTAAAAGAAAACAAAACAATATGAGAATTAGGGTCGTCTGGTTCTGAAATAAACCCAAGGGCAGTATGCTAAACAGACTTACATGTAAAATAAACCCGAGCAGTATACTAAACAGACTTACATGTAAAATAAACCCAAGAGCAGTATGCTAAACAGACTTACATGTAAAATAAACCCAAGAGCAGTATACTAAACAGACTTACATGTAAGATAAACCCAAGAGCAGTATGCTAAACAGAATTGCATGTAAAATAAACCCTAGAGCAGTACACTAAACAGACTTACATGTAAAATAAACCCAAGAGCAGTATGCTAAACATCTTACATGTAAAATAAACCCAAGAGCAGTATGCTAAACAGACTTACATGTAAGGTTACTATATAAGACATATTTGTTTTTGTAGTAGAGTTCGTTCGGTAGGTTTAATATTATGTTTACAACCCCAAGACAAACAGTATATCTCATCTCCTCCTATCTGTATTAAACATTTAAAAAAAACACAGATCCGTGTAGTTTGGTTTTCTTTTAATATGCCGACGTCTTGATAAAGACAATATGCTCTGACAGTTATATAAACATACAGAGGTATATTATCTGATGCATTTCCTACTACACGTACTTCTGAGGATTTTTCATTTGTTTATGTGCAACAAACACAGAAAACATAAACCTATATGCTTTTTAAATCCATATTGAAATATAGTGCTTAAAGATAGAAAAAGAAATGCCAATGTGTTATATTCATATGGAAATTTTTTTTTTAGTACAAAAGTTCCTAAATTCATTAATAAATCTCTAATATAATTCAATGTTTTCTCCGTCTAATGAAATAATTTTATTTCAATGTCGGGAAAATGGTCAACCGTTACGTGAAGAGTAAAAAGAATAGCGTATATTCATCGCTGAAATAATTGAAGATGATATATTTTGTCTCAAATATTATAAGTAAAAAAAATTAAAGATCATGTGACAATATTCTATATACATCTCTTTTACTGATCAATGTTCACTACACCTAACAACAATATTGTGATATATTTGAAAGATAAGATGATCACGTTTCTTTCATGATATATATCTGAATATATAGGTTGATCATAATCAATAAACATTTACCGTAATAGAGTTTATGTCATATTTAGGCAACACATGAGTTAAGCCTAATGAGTAGTAAAAAATAATTAACCTCTGGTCCCGTGCCAATACGTTAATCTCCAGTGATTCGCTTTGAGAGAATTTGCTAATTATTTCTCAATTTTCATTCCTTAACATAAAAATTGAAA